AGCATTGTTCAGATAAGCTCCAGAAAGACCTTGGTTTCTAAAAGAAAGCATTAAGTGTATTTTCCTGATCTAGCATCAAATTACTTGGGACCTCTCAAACAGTGGCAGCTTTGAATCTGTTCTCCTAACATTGCCTGAGGCTCTACCAATCAGTGAAGAGGAAGAAAAGTCTAAAATTTTACACAATACTGTAAAACCTGAGTTCATTTGGACTGCTATTATTTAAATACCGTGAACTGGGTAGCTTATCAACAGCGAAGTTTATTTCTCAGTTTGGAAGCTTAATAGTTCAAGATCAAAGCAGATTTGGTGCCTGGAGACAGGCTCTTTTCTGTTTCATAGACTGCACCTCTCCCTATGTCCTCACATGATAGAAAAGTCTAGGGACCTCTCCGGAGGTCTCTTGAATAAGGGCACTTATTTCAGCTGTGAGAGTCCCGCCCCGTGCCCTAATCACCTCCCAAGGGCCCTGTCTCCTAGCACTACGTCTCTGGGGCTTATGATCCCACATGCCAATTTATAGAGACCACAGATATGGGGACATAGATGAAGGCCACTCATTTGGATTTTACTAGGGTGAAACAGTCCTGAGCCTAGACTTTGGCAACTACTCCACCACTGATAGAATACAAACAACAAATTTCAGCACATCTCTTATTCCCTCATACGTTAAGGTGTTCAGTACCCCAAACCTGTAACAGCTCTTTTATTTTTTAGCTTTTTTGCATTGATTATGTTATTACCATTCCTTAGAACTCATCCTTATTTTTGCTTGAGTTTCAAAGTCTAACAGTGTTTCAAGGCTTCATGGGGCCCAGAGTTCACTTCTAATGTTGAGAAGTATGTAGTAAAAAATAAAAATTCTGAAATCAGTCATTCTAAACTCTGCTGTCACCGTTATATGGCCTGGAGAACGTTTTTAAATCTCCAGTGCCTCATTGTCATCAGGTGTATAAAAGAAATGTTCGGTATAATGCTACTTACCTTCCTTCCTAGGGGGTTCTATCCCAACAAACTCATTGTAAGTTGAAAATATCATGAATCAGAAAGCACTTGACACCCTAATCCACTAGATGCCACAGCTTAGCCCCGCCTACCTTAAATGTGCTGGGGGGAGGTTATGTTGCCCAACAGTTGGGCACGATCTCCCACCACAAAGCCTGTTCAGCAAGATCTGCCACACATTTCACAGGACAGTGAGGTCAGCCTGCCACTACTGCTAACATCACATTGTCATCCTATGCACATCAGTGGCCTCAGAAAAGATCACAGTGCAACATGTGATTCATGCTGAATGCATATCACCTTTGTGCCCCTGAAAACTCAAAATCTAAGTCCAAGCATCATGAGTTGGGGACCATCAATAAAAGATTAGTGTGGGCACAATAGACACCATGAAGCAGATCACCTGTGTGTGACACATAGGTGTCCCTGCAGGCATGAGTCTCCAAAGCAGGGGTGCACAGCAGTGTATTTCTTAAGGAGTGGTGATATCATTTCATAGGTGATGAAAGCCTTTATGCTATGTGTTACCACAGCAAATCAAACTTTTATAACAGCGACTTCGTTAGTGGAATCGTGGACAGGAAGGTATCATAGGAAGCTATGCACTTAACCTGCTGAAGATGATGCTCAGAGCCTCGGGGCAGGGGTCGTAGATAAAGGCTAAAGGGGACTGAGTTGAGGAATGTTTAGAAAATAAAGTAGATGGACCAGAAATATCTCAGGGGCATGGCACCAGCCTGACCTGCATGAATTCATGAATGCAATTCCCCGTACCAAAAACTAAAAGAAAAAGAAAAAGTAGGTTAATTGTATGTTCACTTTTTATTTTACAATGAGGCAGTATTTGTTTATTTATCTGTATATCTTCGTATTTATGTATCTATTTATGTATGTAGTGTGTATGTAGGTTTGTATTTTCAAAGTCCTGGTGTCTATTCTTAAGCTGATACTTAGTAATAATGTGATCTTGAACAATCCACTTACTCTCTTTTAGTAGCTGGTACCACATCTTTAAAAAGTAGAGGTGCCCCACATAAACACTGTAGTCTCTTTAACCCTAAAGCCTATGAACTTGTAAACTAAGTTGATCTCTTTTTGAATCACAGGGTCATAAAACGTGCCTTAGAATTTATCAAATACCAGGGTATAGCTGTACACTGTGTGGAATAATATCGAACCCTCCTAACCAGTAGGGGTCAAATCTGTGCATTCTCCTTCTTCACCCAACGCAATCACCACTTCTGGTGGTTTGCTACACATGCCCTACAGGAAATTCCTTGGTTATGATCTTATTGTTTCTTAACTAGACTCCTGCAATGGCACTGTGAGTATTCTCTGCGGCTCCAACCCAATCTCCTTCCAGACACTCTTTAAGAAGCTAAAGAGTCAGAAAGACCTAGGGTTAAGTGCCAAATTCACTGTTTCTCAGCTGGGTAATTGCCAGCAAGTTGTTAACCTCTCAAAACGTGTTTCCTTACCTGTAACTCATAGGGATGATTAAGGATTGAACGGTTCTTCACATAGTGCCCATTATGCAGTAAGTGATAATTATTTTGAAAGACAAATCTCAGAAAGATTTGAGCAGGCACTTCACAAAAGAAGAAATTCAAAAGGACAATAAAAAATGAAAAGATGTCTTCATTAGTAATCAGCAAAATGAAAATTAATACTTCTATGAGTAGAATTATGTATGCACCTGATTAGAAAAATTAAGAACTTGGGTTGATGAGAATGTACATCTTCCTACACTGCTTCTAGGAGTGCAAATCAGTGTAATAAATTTGGAAAACTATTTTAGAAATATTTAGTAAAATTAATGGTGCAAAACCCCTAACACATCACAGTTCTTCTCCTTGGTATTTATCCCTATGAAATCCTTACATGTTTGTGATAGAGTCTATGAGGAATAATGTAGAGATAAACGCAGAAAATGGTATACCTAAAAGGGAAATAATCCAAACCTTTGCCAAAAGTAGAATGAATAATTAAATCTTGGTATATTCTTAGGGGAGCACATTATATAGAAGTGTAAAGGAGTAACCAACATGCATGGACACAGAACAGTCTCACAATGTCTCGCACAATAATCAGATGATTTAGGATATATACACACATGTTGCAGATATGTGCACTGAAGTGCAGGTGAGCTCACAGGTATGCTATAGAGATACACACACGGAAAGCCTCAAAGAGCTCTGTAGGAGAACAGGTGGTACAAGTAGGACAGCACACAGTTGGGAACCGTATCTGTAACTCATAAGGATGATTAAACATCGAGCGTTTCTTTGCATAGCGCCTGTTATGCAGTAAGAACTGATTCCTCCTTTCCTCATGCTGTCTTCTTACGGTTCTTAACAGTTCATTAAAAGCTCACTTCTCCGGGAAGCCTCCCCTGATCTTCTCCATCACATGTGTGCCAGATTCTCCTCTGCAGTCCTGCCATCAGCAGGTATGACTGCCCACACAAAAGCACTGTACAGCTGCCATACTTTTTTGGAATCTATCTGTCAATAGAACGCTTCACTATAACATTTGCATCAACTGAAAACTCCTTTAAAGCAAGGATTTTCATCCACCCCAAAGTTGAGCAAGATGGTTACACCACAGATTCTCGATAAGCATTGCTAACTGAATAAATGTTTAGGATGGGAGTAATGTGTATTTTTTAGATCATTGGAAGTAATACACAACAACATATTAAGTTCAACTTTATAAAACTGAACTTGCAACAAAAAGTGGTTGCTTATTAGCAATTATTTCTTCTTTATGCCAAATACTCCTTGAATACATTTTGGTTAAGCATAGCCTAATGGTGACCACTAGATTTGCTTTCTCAATAGAACTGCAGGCAGATTGTTTTAAAACTCACAATGTGAAATTGCACCTGAAAACAAAATGACACCCAGGATTCGGAGGCAGATTTATTTACCTCGACAGGCACTTATCAGGATCACTCCCAGAATATCTGGTGGGCTAGGGCTTATATGGGATAAATAAGCAGGAAGTACAAAAGCAGAATGGTTTGTCACCTGGGGATTGGTTTATACAAAGTGTATCCTAGTGACCAATCATTTCTAAGAGACAGAAGCAACCGTTACTGAAACAGGAACTATCTATTACATGGCAGCTAACCAACTGAAGTATACTGGCTGGTGGAGGTATAAACGACTGTAAGATTGATCTCATCCTACTTCTGAAGTTATAAAGCATGTATTAATTCACAGAGCAACCTGTCTACAGCAAGTTATGCAAGCCACTAGGCACATGAAAGAGAGATATTGATCATTAGTTCCAAATAACTTCTTTTGGAGTCTTAACATCACCACTGTCATATTCTATTTTCAAATATGTTATCTGACAGATTATAACTCATTCATCTCTGTTGGAGTCTATTGATTATTGACTTTGGTGACTGTGAAGTATTAAGTATTTGATTAAAAAAATATATTCTGCCTCTGTGTGCAGATACTTTAAAAATAATAAGCTTTTTAAATTACTACAAGTCAGAGCAACTGGATCTATTTTCAATATTGTTTTCCTTTAAAAATGTATAAATTGAATTGTATAAAACTATGATATAATTTCTCTACCTTTTTCTCTGAAAGTCTAAATGTTTTTTGCGTGCCAACTTCTGAAGGAATTGAACATTGTAGTCTAGCTCAGAAGTATTTTTTCTATGAAAGGAGCTTAATCAATAAAATACAGTATTGCACTGCAAATAAAAAATTCACATAAAAATAATGTTCCCCAACTGTTACTCTGCCACACAAAACTGCTCACTGTAGCCCTGTAGCATCTCACAAGTCCTCTCCTACCACAGGTGGTATTAGCAGAACTGTACCATTAATCCCGTCTTGTTTACTCTTACTTTGGCTGATACCATTTAGGACAATATTTCTTGAGAGCCATACTCTGGACCATATGATACTACATGACACTGGTCATGTAGAGCACAGATTTTATGTTGAAGATCATTTTTAAAATTTGCAACTCACCACTGCTTGTGTGGCTTGTCATCTATAGGAAATGGGTCTAATTCAATAGCTTCTTGCATGAGTTGCCATAACCGAGATCTGAGATGGTCTTGTCATTGATGTTTCTCAAGCTAGCCTAAAATCAAAGCAAAAAGACAAATGAGTTTCATTTTTAAGGTTTCCCCTGCTCTTAGAAAACTAAAAGACCGCCCCCAAAGACAAAAAGACGGTTGTTTTCCAGGTGGTAGGTGCAGGGAGAGGACATGAAATGTCTCAACAAGGTTAACTCAGTTCAGAAACTGTTGCAAGCACAAGAACTCTGTTATAAATCAGTTCCAGGCTGGTCTGGGCTGGTCTGGCCTGGTTTGGTCTGGTTTGGTCTGGTCTGGTCTGGCTTGATTTTGGTATCAGGGATTGAATTCACGACCTCCTGTTTGCCATTTTAAAATCCAAACATAAACTCCACAGTGCTTGTTATCTGAGTGGACATGATAGTGAACTTTATGACTATGGACTTGGTTTTGTTATCAATGTGTCAATTCATCAGCCTCAATTGAGATAGCTCCACAGTTACCTGTGTTTACATATTTTGCTTTCCCTGTAAGATTTCCTTTGAGAAATGGGTTATATAGTTACCAATAAAACAAGGAACACCTCTCAGGTAAGTGAAACAAAGTAAAACCAGAGTCAGTTGTCTGAAGTTAGGAAGAGACCTGAATTTATATTCTTTTTAATGTGATCTAGTGATACCTTGCTTTTTAACTTATTTCCAGTCACTTCCTAGCAATATATGGCATTAGTTTCTCCATAACTGTGCTGGTTTCTAATGGTCTACCCACTGGCAAACCATTAGTTTTGCTTTTCTAGTTTGGAAAGTATGATCATCATACCAGAAAGAAATCTTTACCTGCCCCAGAGGAGTCTTCTTCCTGGCCAGCTGCATACTACTGCTCCAGGGAATATTCTCCTTCCCCTGCCCAGCATCCTGGTGGGCCGCCATGTCTCCTATAGACGAAGCATTTTCTCTCTCTTCTGGATCCCTACTTACAGTCAAACCCTTACTAGAGACCCCTAACCCTATCCTACCTTTGTTGTTATTTAACCTCATTTCCCCAAACAATCATAAACTACAAATGACAGAAACTTGAATTCCATTTTCCCAAACTCTTACACCCAGAGCACTTAGCAGAAAACTGTATAAGGAAGATATTTGTTCCATAAATACTTAACTTTTCCCTACTGTGTGCCTGAGTCAATCCTGCAGAGATTATACTTTAGCAGGAAATACAGGTGGTACAGAAATACACAGTTACTCTGTTGTGTGGTAAAGCTAAAATAGATCTTCCTCTGAAGGCACAGAATGAACATCGCCAAACAGGAGACGTGAAGCTCTCCTTCACGGTCAGTGGCTTTGGACCCTGTTACCATTGTACAGGAACAGGACAGTGATTTTAAGAAACTCATTTTCATGAAGCACCTAAAGCACCTGATCAGTTTAACACCCATAAACCAGAGATAGCTGTGCTGCCACGAAGTCAAGCCATTAAATGTATTTCTACTGCATACTTTTAAGGCACTGCTGTTTTAGATTTTGTTTTTGTTTTCTTCCTAGCACCAAAAGAGGAGGAGAGGAGGAGAAAAAGAAGTAGAAACAGCAGCAGCAAAAATCCTATGAGTTGCTGTGTCGGCTACTCTGCAAATGCCTATTCCCTTTGGGGAGCACCACCTGCGCCCTCCACAGCACAGAGGGCGCTGAGCAGCTGCAGCGAGGGTGCTCCAGGGGAGCCTTCAGGCCTTTCTTTCCCCACTCAGAAGCTGTGTTTCTACTCCCATCAGCCCATGGTTTTGACATCCCTGTCCCCGGGGACACAAAGAGTGAGAAAGGCCACAGTGGCTTCACATGGCCAAAACGTCAATTAAAATGCTTTACCAAAAATAAGCATGTTTGAAGTCTAATTCTCAAACACAACATGCTTTTATTTAGGTATTTTCAGAATCACTGGATGTCTCTGCCAGATTTTCTGTGAAGGTTTATCATACGAAATGAAGCTTCTCTCCATTTATTACAGGAAAGAAAAACAGGTTCTCAAAGCACACAGAATTCGCCTTTTCCCTCTCTTTGCCTTGTTTTGTCACAAAGGTAAAACATATTCAAACTAAAAAGCCTCTAGTCAGAACCTTCCAACCTTGCTGATAAAACATGCACACGCTGGTGAATACCTGAACACACACACTGCAATTCTAAATGACACATTCTCTCTCCAGCAGTCCATAGACGACCTCTCCTCTGAGCCAGCAGGACAGCGCCTCATCCCAGGCTTATGTAACACAATCACTGTATTCACTATAACAAAGCTACAAATGGAATCTGTCCTCATTTGCCAATAAGCCTCTCTGGCAGGGACTCGGGCCCAGCTTCCTCCACAAGGCCTTGGTTCTCAGAAGGTGCAGCGATGGATGCTGAGGAGGAGGTGCTCAGCCAGCCCACAGCAGCAGAGCGTGGTGCTCTGTGCTGGTCCTTACTGGACACTTCTGTGCCTCTTTTTGCATGGTTGTTACAGCGTCCAACCCAAAGCTTCAAACAGACCACCAGAGGAAACACAAGGGACAATGAGGGAAATCTAAAAAGCCAATTTGTTTACTTCGTACTGTAACTGAAGGAAGATTCTCTTGCTGTGGTTCATTTTTCATATAAGCAACCAAGCAACCATCCGCTTTGAACAGAGCAATTCCCCTCCAGGTTCTTAGCTAAAAATGTGACCGGATGTCAACACTAGAGCAAGAAGGAAGAATATCTACCCCCATACTTAACAGGCAAAACTCTCGCTTTGTTTTTATGTTTTACCATCAGTGTGACAGCCTGTGTAACTAAGCTTGTAGTGAAAGATTCATTTATAAGAAGCCATGGTCATACTTTAAATATATCTGTGCCTTTAGTCATGGGAAGCTTTTTCAGATTATTCAGGTAGGGAAAATCCCTTTGGTAGTGATATTGCTGTAGAATATACTAGTAAGTTAATTTTCCTGTAAATGTAAATAACTTGCATCGGCTAGCATTCATAACCGACTCTCCAATCATTTTAACCTTGATGAATACTGATCACATCCTATGAAACCATTAAATGCTAATAGCTGCAGACCTGCCAGACAATGACAGCAAAAACACACTTGTCCTCTGGGATCTGCTCATAAACATCCCCTTTTAGCACAGCAAGTGCTCTGCTCCCCGCAGCAGATGCTGCTCTGGGCCGAGCAGGCAGGAGGCTGGAGGCAGCTGATTCTTTTTCCCCATTCTGTGTATCTTTCTCACTGCCTCATCATCCCAAATCTTTTTTTAGTGAAACTGCAAAGATTTTTGCGAGAACAAGAGTCCCTCCAATTCAAGACACTTTGCAACCACGGGAGGAGCGATATGCAGATGAGGCAGCAGAAAGACTTTAATATCTCAGGTCTCACCACCTTTGTCATCTGACTTCCTAGCCCCATTATCAGGGAGAGAAAAGCCCAGTTTGCTTATGTGATAAAGCAAGCTAATATAATACTTCATGTCATTAGGAAGGGTAAGTTCAAGGTAGAGAAGGGAACACATCTAAAGCCAGCAAAATTGCTACATCCCAATGGCCCAGCCCCCAAAATCCAGCAGTGGGTTCTCCAGTGGAGATGGTGTTTGTGAGCCCACTGCTGAGCTGAGCACTGCTGTCTGTGTTTACAATGCACACGCCCGCCTCAGAGGCCTGTCTGGGAGCAAGGGTCATTACTGCAACCATTTTCAATACACTGATCTGCATTCTGGGAGCGCTTCCAGAGTCAGGAGTCACAGACAGCCACAAAGGAGAAAGTGGACCTGGGGCTGGTGATGCCTGGTGCACTTAAACCCATTCTCTTTCGTCTCATCTGTGACCTGTCCCACAAGACTGAACCTGCTCCTTGCTGGGGCATTCATGAAAGTTCCTGTCAACAAACCAGAGGCAACAGGGTTGCTGTGTAGTACCCTCCGGCTCTGCAGCAAAAACATCCCAAGTAAACAGTCTTATGCTTGCCTGGGTGCCAGGCTGCTTCTGGAGTTAAATCACAATAATCCTGGAAGCACAACCAGTCAGTCTCCAGATTTAAGTGTAGGGGGAAAACAGCGAAAATACACATAATTATCTTAAATTTTTATATCCCAACTGACTTGAAGATCTCCTCTAAAAGCCATTCAGGTTGCTGAAAATACAGATGCAATCAATTGTGCTAAACACATTGACATGCTCATTTCTGATGATACATTTTTTTTTCCAAAAGAGCTCTGACATTTGTAGGGGACACAGCCTCCCAGCACAGACTACCTGGGAATCTTGCCATTAAAAAAAAAAAAAAAAAAAAATCGCTGCCTACTGTACATGGATCACTTTCTTAAAGGGACCCTTACTTACCTATGAGACTGCAGTCCCAGCGTTTTCTCTGATCTCTAACCTGACCCCTGTGCTCTCTGTTCCTTTCCCTAACCCAAATGGAGCCCAAGCTCTCTCTGCAAAAGTAAACATATATTTTAATTCCTTGCTCAATTATATAAATATGTGCCAAAATACTTATTTCCAGGAAGTAGGCATAAGTGAACCGTAAATGATATTATCTTTTACTATCTTAAGGAAACCACAGCGTTTCTCAGAGTGAGAACTGAGGTTGGCAGTCCCAGCAGACACAGCTGCCGGTGCCCCTACGGAGCGCTTCCCCTCGGAAACTCTAGGTTGGTCTCCAGCCGGGTCACGATCGCAGGCACCCTCCCACCTCTGCACCCCTAACCCCGCACCGCAGGGCTTCCCCTCCGGTTTGACCAGGTGCTGTGCCAGGAGAAACGCGGGGGCTTCTTGCTCGGAGCTGGTTGACTGCACGAACCCACTTTCGACCCCAACTCTCTGCGGTCGCCCACTCTCCCTCTCCCAGGCCACGGGGAGCAACGGAGAGACCTCACCCCACCCTCCAAAATCGGGTTAGACCCAGAAGGAGCAGAGGCACCTACCATTCCGTGTCTGAGACCTACAGTCCTGATTCGGCCGAGTCTGCCCCAGAAATCCTCCTCACTTGGTTATCATGAACCACAGCCCAAACTGCAACCAGGAAAGGTTCTTTGCAGGAGGGGAGATTGTTTAAAATTAATGACAGACAGGTGATTTCCAAGAAGACCCAATCTGAAACTCACGCAAGCCCCTACGAACTAAGGGGGGAGGGAAAAAAAGAAAATGTGCAAAAATGAAAAAAGAAAAGAAAAAGGTATGCATCTAAGAAGCACCGCCCACCCCCATGAAAAAGAAGAAGGACCGAGGAGGTCTAAAAGGCCAAGGGCAGCTTGCTGAATCACCCCTCTCACCGCCTGGAAACCATTGTGCGGCGAGATGCTGCCCGTACCATTGTGGAACCTACCGGAGGAGACGGACCCGGGGCCGGGGGAATGGGGTTGCCATGGCAACTAAAAGGAGCACACGTGACGTCAAAGCCCGGCGAGGTCTAGGGAGGGGCCGGAGGGGGAAGAGAAAGGAGAAAGTCTCTGTGCGGCCGCAGCTCGGGTGCTTTCTGGAGAAAGGAGGGGAAGGCGAAAAGCAAAGGCACCGGCTTCCGCGCCAGCCAGCACCAGCAACTCCGCAGGACCTCAAGCAGCCGGTCTGCAAACCGCGGAGAATTAGCGCCCTGCTCGAAGCTCTAGCCCTTTGCCGAGCAGCACCCGAGAACCCTGCAGACGGATCAGAAGCGCTGCAAACGCAGTCGGCCTCGGCTCTGCTGTTTGCAAACAGCGGGAAGAAAGACGTGCGGGTCTCGGACCGTCAAAACAGGCCAGAGACAGAGATCATCTCCGGGGACAGCAAGCGTCGGAGTCCACTCCGGACCACAGCGCCAGCGACACAGCAGCAGCCTCTTGTTCCCTTATTTCCTAAAAACCCTGAGTAAATTTCCACCCAACCAAACCCAGCAGATTCATGCTCAGATTGCAACTTAACAGCAGGAAGAAAATACTGGTCATTTGAATTAACAAGATTCTTTTGTTTTCTAAAGGCAGATCATTATCTGGAAAACTGGTGCAACTTTCGTTATTACTATTTGAGGCAAATATCTCATTTTTTAAAAGTAAGTTGTTTTGCCTTTGACTGTTTGTTTTAAGGGTTTTTTTTTTTAGGTTCCCATAGAATTTTAATACCTGCAAATAATTGGTTCATAGAAAGAGATCAGTTGTCTAGTCCCACTATTTAAAAAAAAATAAAATTTACCAAAAGAAAATTTTAACCTTTCACACAAGGAAAAATCTCACATAAGGAACATGTCTTACACGGTGCAAGCGTAGTCTTTCGATTTTTCAAGCTAAAATCAAGTTCTCTTCCTTAGGCATCTTTCCTCCCAAATTTCTGTCTCTTGCAACAACGTAGTGCTGAGTTTTATATGATTCTGCCTTAGTTTCAGAACTAGAATCCTTCTGGGGATAAGGAAGCGGCTTCTCCACACTGATTGTAACATCCCAACACCTAAGAAAACTGTAAGGGGCAGCACAAAGTTTGGTTGTTTTGGTATCCTTGTTGTGGTTGCTATTGTTTAGTCCGGAAAGCAATTAGGAAAGGCTTGGGTAAGATTTGTGAGGCTAAGTCCTCTAGATTTCTGTGCCTTTAAATCTGCAAGCTTTTGGATGCCCCCTTGACAAGTCTGACAAGAATCAATGGACCACTAAGGTTTCAGTGGTGCTGGGACACAACACCCAACACCCAAAATTAAGGAAGGACAGGTTTATTTAGCTCTGTGGCTCCAAGCAGGGTGGCATGGCACTGGGGCAACGCTTCAAGGCAGCAGCCAGAGCACAAAGAGGAAGAGCAAGCCTCTTTTCCTCCCTTATAGTGTACACAGGCCACACCCCGAACCCCCAAACTTGAGCCCCTGGCCTCTAGGATAGTTGTAGCACCCACAAAATCTTTGTGCCCTCCTCTTACACAGGTTAAGAGTATTTACAAAGGAAGGATCCTGGCTTTCTGCTGAGCCTCTGCCTTAAACTTCAAAACTTCTCAAGTTGACACAATGTATCAACCATGACAAGGAGACAATAGATCTACCTATACTAGATGATTGACTTGTGCAAATACAAATTAATAACAAACAACTTTATAACAAAGAAATTGCTATTGTATTATTGCATTTAAAGTATTTTGAGATTCTGCTTTGTTTTTGCTGCTGAATGTTGAACCCAAGACTTCAGCCATGCTAGGCAAATGTTTTACCGCTGAGCTATGCCCCTAGCCTGTCTCTGTCTGACAAAGCTCCGTCTCCAATAACTCAACATCAACAAGAAAAAACAAAAATTTTAACTCTTATCTTACATCTCAGTATAATTAGTATAAACACTAATTCAAGGTAAGTTTTACACATATATAGAAATTAAAATCTACAAAGCTATTAAAATTAAATATTCCTGTTAGAAGAAAAAAACAGCTCTCTGACCTTAAAAAAGGCTAAGATTTATTAGGACACAGAATGCTGTCATCATAAAATTTTTTTAAAAAAGACAAGCAGACTTCATCAAATTTAAAAGCTTCTGTTTATCCAAAGTGATCATTAAGAAAATGAACAAACCGCAGACTAGAAACGAAATTCTCTAGATGAACCTCTAAAGATATTCTTGACACTCATAAATTCTAGGTTATATAAAAATTCACAACTCAATAATAAAAAGAAATAAGCAATTCTGTCTAAAGGTCAATAGCGCTTTGACAATGGAAGATTTTAAAGTGGTACCTAGTGTATGAAAGAGCATTCAACATCATTAGTCATCAGAGAAATGCAAATTAGAACCACAGTATAATAATGTTTGTGGCCAAAAAGATCACTAATTTTTTTTAAAACTACTAAATATTGGCAAGTTTATGAAAAAAACCAGAATTCTGTAGATTAGTGGTTGAAGTATAAAAAGATGAAACTATTTTGTGAAATGGTTTGACAGTTTTTGTAATGATAAGTGTACATCTAGAGTATGATTCATTAATACTATTCACACACAAAAAATCAGCTGTACATTTGTCTTATGCCAGCTTTACTTGCATTAGGTAAAAACTGGAAAGAACTCACAATACAGCCACAGAATACTGTAGATAAACTATGGGACTTCCGGTGTCATGGCTGCCCTGACCACAACGTAGTGCTGAGAATTTCTGTCCCGGCTAGACTGCTTACTGAGACTTCTACGGCCTACAGGCCTCATGGAAGGACTCTTGCAGACCGGAAAGACACACAGTGATCTTTTAATATATTATGGAGGATGTCAAAGATGTAAGATCTAGCCAATTGCTCAGTACACACAATTAAGTTGCCATTTGACTCTTCCAGGAGAACATGGCGGACAGATAACAGCAACTACCGGCGGCTCTCTGAAAGACTCGGCTCAGAAGCCAGGAATGGTGCGGACTAAGGAGACATAAGCAGGTGGAGATATGCTCTGCTGACTCAGGAACGAACTGGGCTGAGAGAAGCCAACTTGGAATGCAGTCCTGGTGCTAAAACAGGAACAGAAAAGACTCGGTGTGGAGGCTGGAACCGTGCCATTGTAAGCCGCGATTTGGGTTTCCCGCCGCGCAGCGGCTGGCTGCCTCTACAGCGGCTCGGCAAGGGGAGAGACGTGCAGAAGCTCTGAGAACGGCAATCTGCGAACGGCAGGGAGGCGTGCACTGACTTATGGTGAGGTGAGTGAGAGAAACTGACACTCTACCACAGTTTGACTCCAGCAGAGGACTTTCTGGGCCAGAGCAGTCCTGCGGGAGCAGGGCGCGGTGGCGACTCCAGCCACACATCCCCCTCTCGGGCGGGATTGGTGAAAAGTGCCTGGCCTGCGTGACGCTGCCGGCGGACCTGGTAGACAGTCCCAACCCAGATCCCAGAGCCTGATGGTGGCCGGGAGGGGAGACGCGTAGGCTGCCTGGTCCGTAACTCCCTGGTGCGCAGCGGTGAGCGGGAACACCTAACTGGCGCAATTCGATCAGGCTGTGGCTAACTGGGAGAGAAGCTGGGCCTCTTATATAAGCTTGCATATATAAGGAACAGAGAAGAAGAGGCAGCATGGGAAGAGGCAGCAACAAGAAAGGCTCCTCGGCCCCCAATTCTGAGAAACAGGCAATAGCAGACACCGCACCAATACACATAAGGCACCATATAGAGAGCCTCATAGACCAATTCAGGAATGAAGTTATCAACGACCTGAAGCTAGAAGTATGCAGAATAGTTAGAGAAATGCTAAGCACCACCCAAGAAAAAACAGGTGGTGGAATGGAAAAACAGAAAAAAAGGGGAGAATTGTTTGATGGAGAAAACAGAGAAAGCATAGAATACGTGAAGCAGGTTCAAAGGGACTACCAAGATACTAAGAAGTCTATCGAAGACTGGCATAACAGCTTGAAAGAAACTAAGGACAGACTATCTGAACTGGAGGACAGACTTGTAATATGGGAGAATGAAATGAAAAACTTCTTAAAAATAACAAAGAAACAAACAGCAATAATACAAAGACAAGAAGATGATAAGAGGATCCATAACTTAAGGATTAAGAACATAAAAGAAGAAGTAGGGACACAAACAAGTGAACTACAAAAGCTACTCACAGAAATAATCCAGGAGAATTTTCCTAATTTAGCAAAAGGTAAAGATACTCAGATGTATGAGGCATACAGGACCCCAGCTACCTACAACCCAAACAGAGAAACACCCAGGCATATAATAATAAAAATTCCAGAAATTCAATACAAGAACAGAATACTAAAAGCTGTAAGAGACAAGAAACAGACCACTTACAAGGGAACACCCATCAGAATTACAGCAGATTTCTCTGCACAAACCATCAAATCACGAAGAGCGTGGGGGGAAATAATTCAAGCTTTGAAAGATAATAATCTCCAGCCAAGATTGAGATATCCTGCACAACTGTCCCTGGAAATTGATGGAAAAACAACGTGCTTCCAGGATAAAGAGGAACTGGGGGAATTTGCAACCACCAATTCAACCCTACAGAAAGTATTGCAGGATATTCTAAAAAAAGAAAAATACAAAGAACCCAGAAATAGTGGCGGGGAGGCCACAATGAATGGAGCAGAGAACAAAATGAAGAAGACAAACTGACAGCTAATGACAGAAAAAGAGCTCAACAGAAATGAGGCAGAGAAGATTGGATGATAGGAACAGCTATTTTGGAGAA